CTTCAACTTGTTTTATCCTTATATTTTAATTCTCTGTCTTACTGTAGTTATACCTATATTCAAGTTACTCCCAATAGAAAAATATGTATACAAAGCAAATTCCATTTAAATCATAAGCACACCCTCTAATTCCCTTTCTGTTTCCCACCATAGATACCGAGCACTCTACAACTATAAGCCCCAGAATGATGACGAGCTCGAGCTTCTGGAAGGAGATGTGGTGCTAGTGATGGAGAAGTGCGATGACGGCTGGTTCGTAGGCACTTCCCGCAGGACTGGTCTCTTTGGCACCTTCCCCGGCAACTACGTGGAAAGGATCTAAAAGAAAAAGAAGAAGCAAGAGAATCTGAAAGCAAGGGATTTTTATGCCTGATTCATTGGTTGAATTATCGTTTTGCATTACCATTCTGTCTTGTGTGTGGGGGGCCTCTGGAATTATTCGGTATGGGAGACCTAATTTTTTTTTCTTTCTTTTTTTTAATATTTTGTAAACTCACCTTTTTAAGTGTGGAAGACCTGAGGGTAATATAGGAAAAGATCCTGGCTTATTTAGGATAGTTCAAGACCCTAGTAGATATCAGTGAAATTTTTTATTTAGACTGGAAAAAGATTCATACTTTTTGAAAGGTTTTCAGGGTAATTCTAAATATTCCAGGATCTAATGTGTGAAATAGAGGTCCTTGTTACTGAATACTGAAGGGCAGAAATTTATGACTGTTAATTATGTACAGTGAATGAGTGATTTATCCATACATTGAATTACTAGTTTATAGATATCAGTGAAAGAAAATGGCAAGTTTTGCTTACAAGATCTAATTTTGTGCCAATATATGAATGATGTTGAAAATTCTGTAACATCGCAAAAGATTATTTTTGTGACAATTATTTTCAGCTGCACAGACAATCTTATTTTGTTGTTTATAACTTTGACAGATCATGAATACCAGTGTCCCATACACTAATGTGTATAAATATTGTTGTGTGTTATGAAACCTATTTCCTTGTCCAAGAAGAAAATGGGGTAAACTACGTCCAGGTTTTGTGCATAAGGCCTGTTGGTGCTGAAATATACCATTTTAGCCTTTGCAGTTGTGTATATCAGAAATAACATATATATATGTGTCTCATTTCTTCATGTGGATACAAAAGATAGCTGTCCTTCAGTATAGAGGCTCATTCTTGTCAAAATGTTTGGTAGTGAACACAATATGAGAATCATTTCAGGTTTTTGCACGTGTCTAGTCACACCCAAAGTGAATTTATTAAAAGAAATTATGTAGATGTCTTGTTACCCTCTGCTGGTGCTTTCTTCTGATGTAATGATCTGTTATGAAATAATAAGTAGAAGTTTGTGGAGCAAAAGTGACCTGTTTAATTTATGGAGATTATTTCAGGAATAATGATTTGCTCTAGAAACTTTGCATTATATGCACGATTTCCAGATTTTTTCTTTTTTTAATCTATAATGTAATCAGTGCTTTCCTAATACTACTCCTGTCTTTATTGCCTCACTTTTCTGTTTCCTTTTTTCTTTTTACTTAATTCACCTCATTTTAGGCATGATAGATATTGGAGTGAATATGAATAATTTAAGACATAATGCCTTTCTCAAATGTTAAAAGATAATGTTAAATCTATGCCTCGTTAGTTGTAACCATTCTCCAAATTAGAGTATATGAGTAAGTATGTAAAAAAAATCATCTCTGTAAAAAGATTGGATACTGTTCTACTAGAAAGGGATGACAGAGGATTCATTTTGGTGGCAAAAGAATAGCACTTGTTTTGAACATAGGTGTGTGAATCACCAACCTTTTTTGATATTTAATGTAATTTTACATTTAAGAAAGTCATTTTTTATAATTCCCATTTTTATATTGAGAAGGTTAAACTGCAAATGGACTCTTGCCTGTGTGTTTAGATTTTTTCTGTTATGTCACTGAAATTCATCTTAACATTTCTGTTTTATGATGGGAGACAACAAGGCAGTGTGGTCAAAGAGAGTGTGGTCCTTCATATATGACGAAGCATTTAGGTTCGTACAAACTTTTATAAGCAGACATTTTCCATCCAGGTTAAAGTTAGTAAAATAGCCTTGCTTACTCAGCCTGTGCTGTGTTTAAGTAATAAGAAATCGGCCTGTGCTTCGTCTGTTTTATATGAACTCGGCCTGTGCTTCCGTATTTATCTTCCTCCTGTTACAGCCAATATTTTATTATCATGGTTAAGTGCTGTTAGCATTTAAGAGTTCTCTAGTTTAGCAAAAAACAAAAAACAAATTATCTTTGTATTTATTACACCAAAAATCTAATTCAGATTAATAAAATGTTTGCTTGTGTTGATAAATTTGATATGCTCAACAATTATGAGTGTCGTGGTATACTATTGAGAGATCTTCACTTCCTCTAGCAGGTGTGTTGTTGTGTTGAATGAGGAGACTCATAATTGCTAAACATACCATTTTTTTAATAATAGACTTTAGTTTAACAAGGCACACTACACT